CACGCGCCCGCCTCCCGCAGCTGGCCCGCGCGCGTCAGCAGGTGGCGCTGTGGGGATCAGCCGCCCCACCGGACTCCAAAGGCCTCGGAGCCTCCCACCCTTCACCCCCAGCTGGGAGACTTCTGGTGTCCAGTTTGTCTTGGGAGTCCCCGTAGCGAGTCCCCGGACACCTGCAACCTTCCTCAGACTCCTGAGTCGGAAGCTCTTTTCTATCCTAAGTTTTTTTTGGGGGTGGGGTCGTTGAGACAGGGTCTCACTGTATAGTTGAGACTGACCTGGAATTCGCTATGTAGCCCAGGCTGGTCTCGAACTCACAGTGATCCTTCTGCCTCAGCCTCCCAAGTGCTGGGATTACAGGCATGAGCCACCATGCCCGGCCTTTTCTATCCTAATTTTAAAGAGGAAAAATTGCAGTCCTGTGTGTGTGTGTGTGTGTGTGTGTGTGTGTGTGTGTGTGTCTGTGTCTGGTAAGACCTGAATATTAAAAAGCAATCTTAAACATTGTTTTGGAGAAAATAAGTGGAAAACATTTTATATACCCATTTTAAAAAATTGAAGGTTCATTTTGAGATCCTTGTAGACTCATGCAACTGGAAGAAACCTCTTATACAGAGATTTCATGCATGCACCCTTTACCTAGTTTCCCCAGATGGTAACATCTCGCAAAACTACAGTTACAGCATCAGATTCAGAATATTGGCGTTGATAAGATACTGAGCATTCCCAGTACCACAAGGACCCCATGTTGTCCTTGTATAACCACGCCTCTTTCTTATTGCCCTGTGTCCTCCTTATCCTCTGGCAATCACCAAACCGCTTTTCCTTTCTAACCTCGTATCAATGGACGCATACAGCACATGACACTTTTTTCTTTTTGCTGGCACTAGAGATTGAACCAACGCTCTTTTTTTTTTTTTTTTTGGTACAGGGATCAAACTCGCAACCTTGCGCTTGTGAGGCAGGTGGCGAAACCACTGAGCAAAATCCACGGCTCCCAAAATATGGAACGCTTCACGAATTTGCATGCCATCCTTACTTGCAGGGGCCATGCTAATCTCTGTACCGTTCCAATTTTGGTATATGTGTTGCCGAAGCAAGCACCCCAAGGCTTTTTCACTAGGCTAAATCCCTGACTTTTTAAAATTTATTTTCCTTTTGAGCCAGGGTCTCCCTAAACTGCCCATGCAGGATTCCAACTTGGCTTTTTTCACTCAGCATAATTCTGTGGAGATTTCAAGCAGGTTGTTGCACGAATCACTTCTTTTTATTGTTGAAGAGAATTCCTGCTATGGATGTATCCTGTTTTGTTTAACCATTCACCTATTGAAGGGCAGCTGAATCATTCCAAGGTTTTAGTGAGAATAAAGCTGCTATTCTTATAGAGATTGTGTGTGTGTGTGTGTGTGAACAAGTTTTGTTTTTCTAGGATAAACGCCCAGAAGTACAACTGCTGAGTTGTATGCTTAGCTTTTGCTTGGAAGGTGGTGGTGTTGCTGGGGATTGAGCCCAGGGCCTGAACTACATCCCTAGTTCATTTTATCTTTTATTGTGAGGCAGGGTCTCACTAAGTTGCTAAATTGCCCAGGCTGGGCTCAGGTTTGCCATCTTCCTGCCTCAGCCTCTCAGTGTTCTGGGACAATAGGCATGTGATAATCTGCCCAGCTTTTCTCATTGTGATTATCTACCTATATTTGCTCTTTGTGAATTTAATATGTGTTTCCTAAGGACTAAGAATATTGGCATCTTTTCATGTGCACATGTGCCATCTGTACGTCTTCTGGAAAACATCTATGTGTTCTTTGCCCATTTTCTCTTTTGCTTGCTTGTTTATTTGTTTTCAGGCAAGGTCTTCCTCCATAGCCCAGGCTGGTCTTGACCTTGAGGAACTGCCCAGGCACTGTGAAACTCACAGTCCTCCCACCTCACCCTCTGGAGTGCTGGGATTACAGGCTTGTGCCCTTACACCTGGCTTCTGTGTCCATTTTCTAATTGGAGTGTTTGTTTTACTGGTGAATTTTGAGAGTTCTTTATGTGTTTTAGATACTAGGTCTTGTTGGATTTGTGGTTTGCAAATACTTTCTCCCAGTCTATTGCTTGTTTTTCTATCCTTTTGACAGCTTTGTTCACAGAGCAAATCTTAAAAAATTTGAAGTCCAATTTATCAATTTTTGTTTTGATGAACTGTTGCTGTTGGTGTCCATTCTAAGAATTCTGCCTAAACCTAGATCCCAATGACTTCTCCTTTTTGGTTTTCTAATACAGTCCTGAGCCAAGCATGTGCCTGTAATCCCAGCACTCAGAAGCCTGAAGCAGGAGGTTATTGAGTTTGAGACCAGACAAAATCAAAACTACATCCCTAGTTCACACACACAGCTTTTATTTTAGCTTTATATGCGTATATAGCTGTATATACATATATTTTTTAAAGTTGAATTTATGATCAAATTTGAATTAATTTTTGTATAAAGTATGAGGTGGATCAAGATCATTGCTGTTTTTTGTCTCTGGATGTGCAGTTCTCTAGCACCATTTGTTGAAAAGGCTGTGTTCTCCACTGAATTGCTGTTACACCTTAGTCAAATAGCAGTTAAGGGGCTGGGGATTTAGCTAAGTGCAAGTGCAAGTCCTGAGTTCAATCCCTGGTACAGAAAGAAAAATCAGTTAGGCCTATTTGTGTGGGTCAGTTTCTGGATTTTTCATGTGTTCCCTTGATCTATGCACCTACTCTCCACCAATATCACACAATGTCGATTGCTATACTAGATATCTTCAAGTCATTTAGGGTAATTCTTCCCGGTTTTCACTATTGTTTCAGCTACTCTAGCTTCTTTGTAGTTCCATATATGGGAGGGAGGCAAAAATGTGTACACAATTGAAAGAAAAACTTGTATACATATTTTAATACTACATTTTTTTTGACACATCATGAGATTAATACAAGTTACCATCTTTGGCCTCTACAGTTACAAGAGGTGACCAAAGTGGTGGCCATCAGCTTCCAGACATTTATTAGTACCTTGGTCATCGAGATTGCTGCACGTGTTTTCCATTTCTTCTCTAAGGGCCTGCAATGTCATGGGTTTTCTGTGATATACTGTTACAGAGAACTTTTGTAAATAATCTAAAAACCTACAAAATTTTAGGAAAATGTAACATGACTTCTTCTGTCTCTAACAGCAATCTGCTTTGTTTAGTTCAAAATTAACAGACACTGGAGGGATTGAAAGTGAAACGGGACACCTGGCCTCATCCCTGACCTTGAACAGACCCTTCCTGCACCCTAGAACAGATAGCTAGACAAATTTTAAGACCATCTCCCTAACCTCAAAAAATTGTTACCTCTGAGTTAAAGTTAACTGCCTTGCTACTATAATTTGTACATGGGTGATGTGAACTGAGGAAATGAAATGTAACCACCTGAATGAGATCATAGCTGTAAAACCTATAAAAGAAGAAGCTGCCACCCAATAGGAGGTCGATCTCTAGCGCAGCTGTTAGTGCGATAGACCTTGGTTGACAAAATAAACTTTTTATTATTTTACTTCTATTCTGTTTGTATGTGTCATTTACCAATTCCTTCCATAACAATATGACATCCTCCAGGGTTCCCCATATGAGGGTAACACCATCTGTTGAAAAAACATCATGCTGTTTTTCCTTTCCTGAAGCATGTATACATTTTTTTTCGGCATCTGTTCAAACCAAGTTGAAAGAGAACCGAATCAAATTTAGTGGTTTAGGTTCAATGTTGACCTTATAGGGAAATTTGATTTGGTTCTCATCCAGTTCAGTTTATGGCCAGAATCATGGAGAGAATTGAGTTTGTGAACCAAGGCACCTCTCCCTCCCCGCCCCTCTCTCTCTCTATATGTATATGTATGTATTTTATGTATCTATATGTATATAGATCTACATATAATCTATCTATATTTTTTGGGGGGGTACTGTGGATTGAACTCAGGACCGTGGCACAGTGCCACCGAGCCAAATCCCCAGCCCTGTTTTATTTGTTTGTTTGTTTTTTGATACAGGATCTCATTATGTAGTTCGGGCCTGCTTTGAACTCACTATGTAGCTCAGCTCAGGCTGGCCTGAAACTCTCAGTGATCCTCCTGCTTTGGCCTCTCGAGTGCTGAGATTATAGTTTTACAGGACCACACTCAGTTTCCACATATATTTTAGAATAATGTTTCTAAAAATAACAATGTTTGTATCTACAAAAATATTCTATTTACCAATATTAGTAATGAAGTATCCAATGTTATTGCTAATATTGTTAAATTGTGTCTTCTCTCTTTTAAGTTTTGTCAGTGTTGGTGAAGTTTGCATTAGTCTTTTCAAAGTAGCTTTTTGTTTCATTTAATTTTTTTTTGTTTTCAACTTCACTGATTTCTGCTCTTTATTATTATTATTATTATTATTGCTTACTTAGGGTTTACTTGCTGTTCTTTTTCTAGGTTTTTGAGGTGGGAGCTGAGGCTTTTTTGAGACAGGCTCTCACTATGCAGTTCAGACTAGGCTTGAACTCACTTTGTAGTCCTGCCTGACCTCAAAGCCTTCCAAGTGCTGGGATCACAGGCATGCATCACCACACCTGGTGTGGGAGCTGAGATTATTAATTTGAAACTTTTCCTCTTTTTTAATGTAAACATAAATTTTTCTCATAAGACTGCTATGTTTGTATTCTACACATTTTGGTATGTTGTTTTTAAATTTTAATTTCAATGTATTTTAAAGTTTTCTTTGAAACTTCTTTGACTCATGAATTACTTAGGCAGGTATTATTTAGTTCTCAAATGTTTGGAGTTTTCTTGTTTTCTTTCTGTTGTTGATTTCTTTTTTTCTTTTCTTTTTTTTTTTTTTGGTTTTTGAGACAGGGTCTCACTATGTAGTTGAGACTGACCTGGAACACTATGTGGCCCAGGCTGGTCTCGAACTCCCAGCGATCCTCCTGCCTCAGCCTCCCAAGTGCTGGGATTACAGGAGTGAACCACCATGACTGGCTTGTTGTTGATTTCTTTTTTGTTTTATTTTGTATTGGTTTTATGAGATGGGGGTTTCACTGTTTAGTTCAGGGTGGCCTGAACTCACTATGTAATGTAGTCCGGGCTGGCCTTGAACTCACAGTGATCCTCCTACCTCAGCCTCCCAAGTACTGGGATTACAGGTATGTGCCATCATGACTGGCATGTTGATTTCTAGTTTGGTTCCATTCTATGTGATTTCAATTCTTTTCAGTTTTTTGAGGTTTGTTTCATGGCCCAGGATATGATCATGGTATTTGATCATATCATTTGACACATGAAAACAATATGTGTTTTGCTATTGATGGGGGTTTTACAAATGTCAAGTAGATCCTGTTGGTTGATGTGTTGTTGTTTTTTCTTTTGGCTTTTTTTTTTTTTTTGAGACAGGGTCTTACTATGTAACCCAGGCTGGCCTCAAATTCTCTGAAGTCCTCTGCTTCAGCCTCCTGAGAGCTGGGATTACAGGCATGGGCCACCAAGCCTGGCCTTGATTGGAGTTTTTTGTTCCCTTTATATCTTTCTGATTTTCTTCCTAGTTGTTTTCAGTTGTTAAGAGAGTGTGTTTGAAACTGCCAACTACAATTGTCAATTTCAGTTCTATTAGTTTTTTGCTATACAAATATTACAGTTATTGTCTGGTGCATATACGTTACAAATGCTATGTTTTATTGGTGGATTAAGTTTTTATTGTTATGTAATAGCTCTGTCCATAGTAATTTTCTGTGTCTGAAGTGTACTTTACCTAATTCTATTATAGCCAATTCTGCTTTCTCTTAATGGATGTTTTCATAATAGCTTTGTTTTCTGTCCTTTTATTTTCTTTATTTTGGCTCTGGGCTTCAAATCCAGGGCTTTGCATATGCTAGGTTAAACATAATCACCGAGCTACATTCCCAGCTCTATTCTTTTATTTTCAACTTGTTTATATCATTGTATTTTCTTTCTTTTCTTTTTCTTCCCTTCTTCCCTTCCTTCCTTACTCCTTCCCTCCCTCCCTCCCTTCCTTCCTTCCTCCCTCTCTTTCTTTCCATCATCCTTTTTTCTTTTTTTGTTTTCTGAAACAGGTTCTCACTG